GGAGCCCCCCCTGCCACTGCTTGGTGGTGCAGAATGTCATTGCAGCTGGACCCCCTCCCCAGCATGAAATTAAAATGTATTAAAACAATACAAATATTAAAGATTACGTTAAAACAGTGTTTATTTGATGAAAATCGGTTGAGTATTAGCAAAGTTATGCATGTAATTCATTGGATATCAGCTTCTAAAGATTCAAAAATCAATAATTTATTATCAAGATCTGTATATTAAAAAGAATTTTAATATACTTTTGATAGTGATTAATAGTTTGCAGAAATGTACTTCAATACCGTATATCTTTTATAAAATGCAAAAACATTACGTTGTGGGTGCTTGTGGGAAATTGCAACAACTGGGAGGGTTGCAAACTATGGTCTGCGGCATAAATTTGGGCCGCGGAACATTTTTGGAGGGCCGCGGAGCTGTCTCGAAATTGAAGGAAAAAAATAAAGAGACGTTTTATCATGGAGAAAATAGTTTTTAATAAAGCGAATGCAGCGAATGCAGCGAATGCGTCGCTTGCACACGCTGCTAAAGTGCCAGATGATGATGCATGCTATTTGAGTTTTAAGCAGTTTTTGTGTCTATGCCCCCTCGGGAGCCTAATTATCTGTATATTTATTCCTGATAGTTCTAGTATGCAACAACTCCACTCCCTAATCCTCATATTGAGATTTAGTTTGTGTAAAGCACCATGTGTGTATGTTTGTCTTGTGTGTCGTGGACTGTTTTATGTGTACTGGGCCCTCTGGGAGTACAGTAATTTGTTAATGAAGAGGAAACCCAGTATAAATAACAAATAAATAAATAAAACTTTGTGCATAATTAATAATTATGATGATGAAGAAGATGATGACGATGAGGAGGAAGCTGTGCAAGATTAATTAACAGGCCCTTTTATGTGAAGTGTTAGGTGAGGCCCGTAGCCTAAGTTACGGTTGGGAATTTGGAGACATCATCGTCGTCGTCAAATGTTCAATGCACACAGTCGGACAATAGATGATTTATGATATCTGTTTTGTATAGAAAGTAACCTGAAACCCATAAAACATCAGTTCAGGCATTCATTTATCTGTCTGTGGAAAATATAACATATGAATCATACAAAATAAGAAGAATTAAAATAAAATTTAAAATATGTGAAAAACATCTACACTAAATCAAAATGGAATATTCACTGCCTGTTGGATCCCAGTTTTAGTATTGCAGGGGTTCTGAAGGCTTTACAGTACAGTATAACCAATCCACCGTATTTTTGATAGATTGCTGATTAAAATGTAAAATTTAAGAATTTTAATTCAGTACATTCTCAAATGTTATATAAATCTCATATATCCCAGTCTAATATGACCACAACATGGAAGTCCTCTCCTTTAAACTTCTAACCTACTAAACTTTGCGTATCTCAATATACATATATATTTCCTTAAATCAAGGAAGTCCACTCATTAAATTAGTATATATAGTATAGAGAATTTTGCCTGTCAATCTCAGATATCCAAATTTTAAGAAATTATGTTTTATGCATGCACTGACATGAGAACTTTAACCTAATAACTTTGATATGTATGTTTTATGTTGTTTGTTGAATAGATTTCTTTAATAATAATATTGCAATCTAATATGACCACAACATAAGGAAGTCCACTCTGTAAATGTTTAGCATAATATTGTACAGAGAATTTCGATTGTTTATCAATATCATCATGTTAGATCCAAATCACGTTTTATGCAAGCACCGACGAGGAAAGATTAAACATAATAATTTTGATATGTACATGTTTTATGTTATGTGTTGATTGGTTGATTGGTCTTAGTTAATAATATTACAGTTTAATGGCTTAATGTAATAATATTACAGTTTAATGGTTTACAGTAATATTACAGTTTAATGGCCGCGGAATCCTGAACCCCAACTCGGGGCCCTTGGCGGCCCCCTAGCCCCAATCATCAGTGCTTGCGCTTTGCTCGCAACCTGACTATTTCCATTCTCGTTGCTAAGGCCTTGCTATAACGTGTGTGGCTGAACCGTGTTTGGTTGAATCAGAATAGAAAGAAAGGGGGGGGGGATGGTGAAACACAAATGTACAGTATTATTTTTTTAATAAAATAATATAATTTGTATACAATAAAATGTTATCACTACGAGAACAGATAATGATGTCAAAATATTGTATATACAGTACATGGAGGCTTCATGATCAAAGGTTCTTGCCAAGATTTGGTATGTTGGTCCCTGGCGCGGCTGGGCTGCTGGGCCGCGGTTTGGTGCCTGGAATTGTAAATAGGCCGTGAAGTAAAAAGTTTGCGGAACGCTGCACTATAGCATTGCTGAAGAATAGCCATAATGAAGCGATCCATATCGACCAAGATGCGAGAGACAGACTCTAGCTATGCTAACTAAACCTGAGCCTACTGTAGGCCCCTAGGTCTAGGCCTATCTCTCATCGACATCATAGGCTAGGCTAGGCCTGTGTAGGGATAGCCGATATGATTAAGGCCGAGCTTATACCATTGCTTGTGCCCAAGTGTATCTTTTTTTTTATCTCATGGATTTCTAACACATTACTGATGTTTCAAGCCACAAGACTACAGTAATATCCAGTACTTAATGCAATGGGTACTCCGAAGTGGTACGGGAACATGCTACTCACTCATTTTGTTGACTGTGAAGCACTGCGCGGTGATGTAATGAAGCTGCGAAACATGGACTGGTTCTTTTACAGTCTGCCACAATCATTTTTAAACCTAAGCACTGCGGTACAGAATAGATGGGACAAGTGGTTTTTGGCTGTTTTTCGTTGTTATCCAATATCCAGCCTGAAAAGTAGCGGAATGTTGTCGTGACATATAGAAACCCATTGTATGAGATATGAGCACATTCCTGCCAGCAGTTTCATAGGAGATAGGTGAAGTTACGAGGAGGCGATTAGTAGAATTAATATATAGATGATAATAATAATAAAAATAATAATAATGTTATATTTATATAGCGCATATTTCACATTGGCCCTATGCGCTTTACACAGAAATAATATAGGCCAACCGAGACAATAATAGTAATAGGTTGATTTATAAGGTGCAAATACACAAGGTAAAGGAAAAGCACACATCTAGATGTGTATAAGAGACAGGTGAAAAACATCTACACTAAATCAAAATGGTACCAAAAAACAGAGGTGAGAAACAAGACAGTTCATAGGAGAAAACATGGGATCACAAGGATGCAAAAAGGTTGAGTTTGAAGTTGCTTCTTAAAAGTAGCCAAGGAAGGAGACTCTTGAATATAAACTGGGTGATCATTCCACAGTTTAGAGCGGCAACACAAAAAGACCTTACCCCAAAAATTGTAAAACGGCATTTGGGTGTGAAAAGTGTTTTAAGTAGTTTGGCGTGTTCTTTTACATGCCGTAATTTGCCCAATGGTGAAGTGTCTTGTAAACAAGGAACAAATCTTGAATGCAATTCTGTTAGTGTGGGTGTGATATGCTGTGATCTAGGAATGAGTTTAATAAGACTCGTAACAAGATCCATAATCCTTACTTGGTAATGATCCTCAGGCACCATTTTAGCTTTTATCGATTATGTATGAAAGGAATTCTTGCATTATGTACTACACGAGTCAGCTGCCTTCCATCTTGTAAATGACCTTACTAAAAAACAACATAGTACAACTCAGTATAATAATACAGTATTACAATGGCATTGTTATTATTAGCACTGATCACAGCCCTCATATTAATGTTAAAGGTTACTCATCAACATTATGTTATGATTCAAATTTTAAAAATGGGTGTTCCTCACTTTGACCAACAAAAAGGTTTAAAACAATTTTTTGATAAAGCTTTGAATTCATAAAGTTGTCTTTTGCATTTCCATAATTCTACATGGAGACTAGGGCAGTGGTGGACCATCAAGGCAAGCAAGGTATGCAGTGCATACCCCGGCTAAAACAAATAAAAAAATATGTTAGTACAGTTTCTCCGCTTTATTTAGGATTTCTTAGTCAGGATCTTATACACCCTAATTTTTCGAGTGGAATGCTATTCATTGGAATAGCAAAGTTTTTCAATGTTTGGCCTACTTTGGTACCTAGGATAAGACACAGTCGGGCCTAACGTTTTGTACTTAGAATTTCCGCATGGCTGGTCTTTGATATCAGCCAATCACGTATTCAGTGAGTCAATGGAAGTCAGAGCATACCCTACAACGCTTAAATTTGCTATTGTGACAACCGTGTGGTGGCGTCAGAATAACCAATTTAACACTGGAATGGAAGCAGTGCTTCCAATGTGCGCATGCTCTTCTCACAAATCGGGACCTGCACTGCCGATCGGGTATTCTATCTACAAGCCTAATCTGAATCGATTAAAGTTTAAATATATTTACATACATATGACCGGTATAGAAGAAACTTTGAATTATTATTATTTGAATTGAAATTTGTTAAAGTACAGGAATAAGAATTCTTTTGAAGAGAAGACAACCATGCCAGTATTAAAAATAACATGCATTGTATTTTGACTATAAAACGCAATCTGATTCTGTATAGTAGTAGGCTTCCGAACTTTTCCTATCACTAGCAGGCCCTAGCATCAGTGGCGGGTCTTGAAATGGAAGGGAGCTGATGGTGTCAGGAAGGTAAAGTGGAGGCTCGGTGATTATGAGGGATAACTCGCAAAATAAGGTGATATGAGGTGATTTTTAATTACTTGAGCATGATTTGTGGGCAGGGGCGCAACTGGGGGATGGGCGAGTATTTTTTTAGGGGTAGGGGGAGGACGTGCGGCCCCTTGTACATCCTAGATATGCCAATATCTAGCATACCCTGCAATTTACCCTACGGTCCACCACTGGACTAGGGTGGCCACTAATAATCTTCTAACATTTTTCAATTTCTGAAGGTTCTTAATATATAATACACCAAATTATTCACCAAAGATAACGTCATCACAATTTCCTTTAGTGGGTATGAAAAAATAAAAACATCGCACGAAGAGCTATGATATGCTAATGCTAATTGGGTGATGTCGATAGTAGTGTATATTAATTGTTAAAAATGTAATGAAGTTAGCATAGAAGATACATTGTAGACAATTTATACAAATGATTCATAGATTTGAGATTAAGGTTGATTCGATTTACATTTCCATTCAGAATAACAATATGAAGAGTTTTTTAGAGCCCTTCTAGGGGGCCTAGGATTATCGCTTAGGCAAATCACCACATCCAGCGCTGACTAATGGATCGTCATTGATTTTGAGGTACACTTCAGACTGTCACTCGGTTTTGTTGCAATTTCTGTATGAAATAATTAAACTTATTGGACAAACTTAAATTGGTGAATTGCAGAATATGTATTTCTTTGACTACTATGATCAATGAGTCAGAAGAATGTTGTTTGTATGAATGTCTAGCCTAGTTCCATTTCTTTCACTGCATTTCAAATCCAATTTTCTGACGTTTGTTAAAGGAATATTTACCAAGGCTTTTCGATAAGTAAGAAAATTACATTCAGCCTTTAAGATGCAAGATTTTGCTGACCTATCTTGAAATGGACAATTCCGTTGTCCTTTTCTGAGAGTGCTGTGGGCATCCATTTCTGCAACTAGATTGCTCGTTTCTGTGAGTAGGTTGTTCATTTGTAACTGTATTTTTGGCGGCGATTGCCTTTCATAGGGGTGATGATCTTTAACATTTCAAACAATGCTCCATCCTAAGTTTCTGAGAGCAAAATTATGTTATGTTATAAAATGAATTTCTTAATAAACTACACTCAATTGAGGAGCAAAAACAACTGTCAGTTGTTTTTGCAAGTACCAAATTCCTTGACTACATAAAAAAAAAAGGTAACAATTGAACACTGTTATCAGCAGCACAGACAATGCTTTAGCAGTATCTTAAAGAATACAGAAATATCAGTACATCCTAAACAGGGCTTGAAATTAACTTTTTTTTTTTTGGTAGCACTGCCAAATTTTCTGGCACCCCACAAAAAAAATTTGGTAGCACAAGTAATTTTTTTAGTAGCACATATTTCCCCATCCTTTTCGCATCCGCTAAGATAATAAGCGCTGCGCAATATTTTATTCTTTATATTTGCTAACAAACCCCCACCCACCCACACCTACACTGTCCCCACGGATTATTATGCAAGAAAGAAGACATGAAAGAAAAAGAGAAGAGATTTTTAGAAATTGAAAAAAAAAAACCAGAAAAATAATAAATAAGAAATAACAAAAGGAAGGAAAGAAAAAAAAAGAAAGAAGTAAAATGGTGGAAAGAAAATGACAATGAAAAAACTAAAAGAAAGGTAAGTATCAAAAACGAAATAAGAAAAGGGATGAAACAATATTAAAAAGAAAATAGATATTAAATGGATAGTAAAGAAAAAAATGTGCAAGGTAAAAAATTCTGGAAGGAAAGGGAAAGTATTTCATGGAAAGTTGCAATTGTTAGGAATATTTCTAAGAAAATTACAAATTTCTGTTAATTATTAACAGATATACACAATATAAAAAATAAAAACATGAGCAGTAATAATGTGCTAGCTAAACCGTCTAGTAAATGGATTGCCAAAATCTGCAGTTACTTAAGTGGATTGATATATTAATTATTATTACTGAAACATTAATTATATTTTCTGTACACTTTCATTAAATTTTTCAGTATTTTTCTTTATTTGTGCAGGAAATTTCGAGAAAATAGGTCCGCAGAATCGCATTAACACTGCGAATGCCTAGACATTGGTTACAATAGCCATTGGCCGACTTTACTGCAACATTTGCGCGGAAATTGGCAGACTTATTTTTAATATGCGTGGATGGAATTTTTTCTTTATGAGATAACTCTAAATCAATTTCACATAATAATTTCAACCTAAACAGAGTTCCAGAGTTTTCACCAACATTTCGGGAGTGCTGAGATTCCAGCTCCCCACTGTCAATAAAGGCCATTTAGGCTTCGTTTTAAGCCCGAAAAATTGGCATCACACAGTCGGCGGCGACACTTCTTATTTTTGAATGTAGCCTAGAACATTACGCCTGGGCCTGTACAACTTCAGCAAAGTATCTTATACCTACATATATAACGATCTATAGTTTCATTTTCTTGTTCAATGGTTGTTTTTATTGAGAATTATTTAAAAAAAAAAAAAACTGGTACGCCTTCAAACTTTCGAAACTTCAGTATTAATCGCCAGAGAACATCGTCACACTTCTAGTGTTTACAAAGGTTTCGCGGAGTAACATATCCCAAACATTGCAAGTTGCCCCGAATGATGTAATATCCCAGCATTCTGATTGGTTTACAACTTGCAATGGACTCAATATACCTTACTCGCCAGCCGGTGTAGTCCGGCGCACAGATGGTTTGGGATGTTACTCCGCGAAATATAGTTTCGTAAAATTGGAAGGCCTGCTACCAGTTCGTTCGATGTTGTTTTGTTGTTACTTTTTTGTTGTTGTTGTCAAAACAAGAAACATTCCTTGTAGAATTATATATTTTTTATATATCTTATAGATTAAATTAACCAATTAATTCAATTGTTGCACTTTA